GCCGCATTGACTCATCTGGGAAGTGGGGGCCAAGGGCAACCCTCGGTGCTAGGAGTCAGAACCTCTGGCCCCTCCCCGTGGCCCCGGTGTGCCTGTATCTGCGAAGCCGCACTGCATCCCGTGCGCCTCCGCGATGATCTGTGCGCCTGGCCGGCCCAGGACCAGGACCACTATCTCGGCGTTGAAAGTCTCCCGACCCCCGAAGGAGGCGCCGAGGGCAGAGTGCGGTGCCCGCCGGAGCCACCCCGCCCCCTCCCGGGCCTCCCCGCCCCGGCTCCCCCGCCCAGGCGGTCGGCGCGGGTGCTGGGCTCGGGCCGGAGACGCAGCGCGCACGTCGCGGGCGGCAGGCAGAAGCCCCGGGCCGCGGGCGCACGCGGCTCCGCCCCGCTCCCGCCCTCTCCGGCGGGGTCTCGGGCCGCACCGAGCTGGGCCTGGCGCCATGGCCAGGGCCCCGCAGTCCCGGCGCCGCCCCGCGGCCCCCGGCAGCGCCCTGCGCGCTCTGCTGCGCTGCAACCTGCCCCCCGGCGCCCAGCGCGTGAGTGGTCTTCGCCGTGCTGGCGCTCCTCGTCCTCATCAACGTCGTGCTGATCTTCCTGCTGGCCTTTCGCTGAACCGGGCCGGCGCCCGGGGGACGCGCTGCGGTGAGTGGGCGGCGTGGGCACCCCCGACCGCCGCGCGTCTTCCCTTCCAGCCCCGCCCCCATCGGGGTCCCCGCGCGCCCGGCCGGTCGTGACCCAAGGTGCGGCCGCTGGCCCCAATGCGGCCCCGTGAGCCCGCACCGGACCTGCCCGGAGAGGCGCCCATGTGCCGGGGCCGATCTGCGTTTGCGCCCCCCGGGGGGCGGCCATGCGGGTGACTCAGAGGCGTGGTGACATGTGCCACGGGGTCCGTCCCTCTGTCTGCTGTGCCTTGTGTGTGTGTGTGTGTGTGTGTGTGTGTGTAACTAAAATGGCGCGTCTCCGTGTCTAACTGAGGATGCGGAGGCAGCTGTGGCCGCGGCTGCCTGTAGTTGTCTGGGAAAAGCGTGCATGTGACCGCTGTGTGAGCGGACTGGGCAGCATTTCGTGTGGGTTGAGAGATGGCTGTGGAGGATGAGTGGACGCCTCTGCATATGTTACCTGCAGTTGCTTTTCCCATTTTAGGTCTTAAGATAACTGGTCTCAGTCAGTGTGCCGCGCCCCACAAGCAGAGCCCCCCTCCTTGCAGGTGGGTGCTTTGCACACACAACCCCCTCCCCCCACCCCTCAGGGCTGCACAGGGACCCACAGGAGCTGAGCCACATTCCCAGAGTGGATGGGAATCCTCCAGCAGTAGCCTGCATGTGTGAGAGAGAGGACATGGGGCAGGATGGGAAGGGCAGCGGGCGGTCATCAGGGGCCGCTTTGAGGCAGAGCCTGGCTTCCCCAGGCTTGTCAAAGTCTCCGGGGCACAGGAGGGGATCCTGCCTCCTGCCCCTGGCTTGTCTTAGTCTTGATCTTACCCCTCCACTGGAACAGTCCCCCACCTGCGTGCCCCCCCCAGGCCAAGAGGGAGCCCCCAGTCCTCTCCCCATAGCCTGCTGGGCTTGAGTGTTGGCTGCCCTGCAGCTGCACCTCACACAGAGCGCGAAGAAGGGCCTCTGCCCAGAAGCCCACCCAGCCGGGGCCCGGGCGGCCTCTGGGCTGTCCTGGAGGTAGAATGTGGCTCTGACCTCTTGGAACTACCTTTTGTCTTGGTGACATCACATAAACGGGTAATGTCATTGCTAACTCGTCAGGGTGCCTCACATTTGTGGATCTACACAAGAGTTTTGGGTCCCAGGTAGAGCACATTGTCACTCTGGGTATCGATGGAGACCAAGGCACAGGGACATCAGGGAAGTTGCTCACAGCTGTGTGTCTATCTGTTGCTCCTGTTCCTGGCAAGGTGCTGGCACAAAGAAGGGACAAAAGCGACCAACCCCTCCCATCACCAACTGGGGCTTCCAGGTGACAGGGCAGGATGGGTAGGGGGCTTGTCCAAACAGGCATTGGGAACCCTGGCCTCTCTGGGAAGCCCAGCCTCTTTGCCCCCCAAGTCCTCCCCTGGCTGCCTTGTAGAAAGCGCCGGTGTAGGACCCGCCCCTCTCTGCGAGGGCTGGCAGAACACAGCCACCGGAGGAGCACTGGGCCAGGGCTCTGTTGAGGGAAGCTGGGGACAGGGGAGGCACCTGACCTGCTTAATACTAGGCGGGAACAACCAGGGAAGGAAACCAGTGGGAAGCTGGACTGTGTGGGGTGTGTCTGTGTCACTTCCTCCTGGCCTGGCTCCAGCAGTGAGGGCACCTGTGCTGTCCTGTGACCTGTGTGTGCAACTGATGTGAACGGAGGAAGACAGCATCCACCTGCAGTCCTTCTCAGGACTTCGCAGGAGACCACAGTGGAGCCTCCCTTAGCGGGCATGTGACTGTGCACATAGAGGCGCATGTCGGGGTGTGCAGCAAGAGGGGTCTCAGGACACCCACTTCTCCAGAGTCAGAGCTACAAAGCTTAAACAAGAAGTTCTGTTCCCTGCTGGATACGAACCTCACTTTACCCAAGAAGTCCCGAGAGTGAACCCTTCCATTGTCTCAGTAACTCATCACTCAAAACATACAAATCTTCCCATGTAGCCCGTGGTCACACACTCAGTCCTGATGTACACGGTCACCTGTGGTCACACACACACTCTGTCCTGATGTACACACTTACCCGTGATCACACACAGTCTGTCCTGATGTACACGGTCACCCGTGGTCACACACTCTGTCCTGATGTACACGCTCACTTGTGGTCACACACACAGTCTGTCCTGAGGTACATGCTCACTCATGGTCACACACTCTGTCCTGATGTACATGCTCACCCAGGCACACATACACAGTCTGTCCTGTACTACACGCTCACCCGTGGTCACAATCACACTCTGTCCTGATGGACATGCTCACGCCTGGTCACACACACTGTCCCACGGTCACTGTCCCTGAACAGACACGTTCACTTGCCGCGCACAGGCTCATTGGCTCCTCTCCACCCCTTCTGAGCATTCTGCTGCTTTGTTGTCCTCAGGCCAGACCCCAGGCCTTGGCGGGCCTGCTTACGGAGTGTGTGCCTGGGCTGCAGTCTAGTGCCGCCCCCCGTGCAGCAGGCTGGCTCTCGCATGTGGCTCCTGAGTCTCCCATCCTGCCTTGCCGTGTTGCCACCAGGAGGCCTTGATCCTGGGAACCAGCCTCCCCGCAGGAAGGAGCATGCCTATAGGTCTTTCTCTCTCTAGAGGAGGAGTGCAGTGGCACCTGGAGGAGGCACGCAGCTCCCCAGGAACAGCCCAGTGCTCCTGCCTGTCTCTGGGGGGCCTCAATGGTCTGCAGCCCCTGAACGAGTGCTGTCTGTGAGAGAAGTGCACACAGGCTGTGGGTTACTCAGGAGTGCTTTCCTCAGGGTTTGGAGCAGGTTTCACCCCCAGAAAATGGGAAGAACTGATGGCTTCTGGATGTGCTCGCTCGGGCCTCCCTTGGAGGAAAGGGCCAGCCTGGGTAGGCTCCATGCCTGCTGGCCAGCCCAACCCTTGCCCTGCCCATTTGGGGCACAGTGGAGCCTCTGAGACAGTGGCTGGAACTCACTCAGGCAGAGACCCCGCAGTCCTGCTGCGGCCCCACTCTGGTTCCGTTTCAGTGTGAGGATTCGCACACACACTGCCCTGGGGGCACCAGAGGAAAGCCCCACTGGGCCTGAAGCCAAGGGTGGACTTCCACGGTGAGGGGGGCAAGGGCAAGCTGCCTGGAAGAGGAGACAGCACAGAGGGCCTGTCTGGTGACGCTTTGAGGCCTTCACTGCTCTGCTAAAGAACCAGCCAGTGGCTGTGACAGAGCCAACACTTGGTCCCAGCAGAGAGGAGATGGACCTCACCTCCCGTAAACCTCCAGAGCCATTCGTCATTCACAGAGCAGAAACTGAGCCCATGTGACAGGAAAGCAGGTGTCAGCCCAAAGGGAAATGGAGCTCTGAGCACGAGGACTGCCCAGGAGGGTGCTGTCTCCCTGCCTCTGGGGCTGGGGACCATTCCTCCTGAGGTGAGGTCTGCGACCACCAGGAAGAAGGAGTCACACAGTCAGTTCCGCAGAGAGAAGTGATAGAAAGAATGTTAGCCAGTATCAAGTGGTTGGCTCATAACCGAGAGCACAAGAACAGGACAAAGGGAGCAGCTGCAAGACATACCTACCTCTCCTAGAGCTGGGGAAAAAGGAAAGAGGTTGGAAGAACTGAAACTGAGAACCCTGTGGGCTTGGGGCCTGGAACTCTGAGGAGAGTGAGGCTCAGCTGGTGCTGGTGGGGGCGCCATGAGACCAGCCCTGCACGTGTTCGAACCCTGCGAGCCGGGGTCTGGCTCCTGCAGCGGCTGGGCACGGCGCCCGGGGGAAACGGCCCTGCTGCTTGTCAGGTGGCCTCTCGCAGGTACGGCCGGCCCGCAGGAAGGCCACAGGAGCTTCTGCAGGGTGAAGGAGGGAGGAAGCCCCTTCACCCAGCTCTGCGGTCCTCTCCAGTGCCATGTTAGGAGAGCCTGTGGGGAAGCAGCCGGCACAGCAGAAAGGCAGCTTGCAGTGTCCCAGCACCAGCATCCAGAGCACCGCAGAGACGCTGGGCGGGCGGCTGAGAGGCAGTGCTTTCATCACTGGCCCAGTAGGGGTGGGAGGAAGGTGTGCCCTGTGCAGGGGAGTGAGCAACACGCTCGCCCCTCAGATCTGGTGGCTCCCCAGGCTCTAGTGGTCGTGTTCACTTCAGGCTTCCTCATCAGCTCTGCCGGTCTAGACATGGCCAGGGCATAGACTGCTCCCTGAAGAGTGGCTACCCAGAGGGAGCCCCTGTCAGCTCCCCTGTAATGTCAGTCAGGATCCCCTTTTCCCAGGGCTGCTGAGGGGTGGGGTCAGAGGGCAGGAGCACCCTGCCCCCTGAGGGGGTCCGTGCAGCCTTACTCCACTGACGTGCTACCCATGGCTCTCTCCACAGCTCATCAGCGATGGCAGTGTGGTCTGTGCTGAAGCACTCTGGGACCATGTCACCATGGATGACCAGGAACTGGGCTTCAAAGCTGGGGATGTCATCGAAGTAATGGATGCCACCAACAGAGAGTGGTGGTGGGGCCGTGTCGCCGACGGCGAGGGATGGTTCCCAGCCAGCTTCGTGCGGGTATGGCACCGGCCTGAGCTTCTCCTAGGCCTGTAAAAAGCCAGCTGGCTCTGCTCAGAAATGCAGGCTTGAAACTGCTCTGGGGTCCGAGGTGCGGGGCATGGACCTCCCACTCATGGCTGTGGTGGGACTGCAGGTTGTGGGCTGAGTGGTGGCTGTCAGGAAGGCCAGCCGGGAGTTCTGACACAGCCTTCCTCCACCCACTCCAAGCCCTGCTCCACCCTTCCTTGGGAGCCCTCAGTGGACAGAGAGGAATGGGTCAGAATGATGCTGTGTGGCTGCCTCTAAGGGGACTGCACGTCAGAGGACCACGGCCACAGACAGCTCGGTTTACCGTGCACTTCCTATGCACTGTGCAGAACATCTGCTCCAGTCATGCAGTTAGAGCTTTCACAGCAGCTCCGGGGAAACTGAGGCATGGACAAGTCAGTCCTTAGCCCAAGAGATCACAGACAGGGGACCCAGATTCCACCTAAGGTGGCCTTTGGTCTCCACGGAAAGGCCAGGCCAAGGGCAGTGGGAAGGAGAGATCCCAGGCCTTGGGGTTCATGGCTTCTTCTGCCCCAGACCCCTTGAACAAGCTGCCCACTCTGCACCCCACGCCTTCCTAGTTACAGGTCAGACAGCCAGCAAGGCCACATCACCCTTTCACTTCCATCACAGCCTCTAGAGGGCCCTATGAGCCGACACTGGTTCAGAACTCTGCTGTTAGCATCTGCTCTGTGCCCGGCACGAGACGGCTGTAAGAGCGCCTTAGGAGGCGGCGGGTGGTCTGGGAGAACACTGACAGCTGCAGCAGTCATCGGACTGTCGGCCCCTGTCCGGATGGGCGTTATGCGGGCGATGGGAGGAGGGGAGCTTCCCGGCCCGCCCCAGCCGCCTGTGCGTCCGGCGAGTTCTCCGAGCCTCAGTTCCCCGCCGCCGCCGCCGCCGTGCTGGCTGCGGGGCGCTGCCCCGGGCGCTGACCCCTGCGCGTTGCCCGCAGCTGCGTGTGAACCAGGACGAGCCTGCGGACGACGAGGCGCTGCGGGCCGGGGCTGGCGGGGCGGAGGACGGCGGGACCGAGGCGCAGAGCAGCAAGAACCAGATGCGGACCAACGTCATCAACGAGATCCTCAGCACGGAGCGCGACTACATCAAGCACCTGCGCGACATCTGCGAGGTGAGGCCCGGCACGGCGGGGGGCGGGGGGCGCGGGGCCCGGGACTGACGGCCCGCTCGGCCCAGGGCTACATCAGGCAGTGCCGCAAGCGCGCCGACATGTTCAGCGAGGAGCAGCTGCGCACCATCTTCGGGAACATCGAGGACATCTACCGCTGCCAGAGGGCCTTCGTGCAGGCGCTGGAGCAGAGGGTCAACAGGGAGCGGCCGCACCTCAGCGAGCTGGGCGCCTGCTTCCTGGAGCACGTGAGGCGCCCACGGGGACCTCGCCCCGACCCTGTCCCCTCCTGCCCCCAGGACCCACTGCCCTGGCTCCCGGGCGCAGCGGCCCCTTTGGCCTCGGCCCTCCCCCACACACCCGGGCCCCCCCCCCCCCACCTCCCCGCCCTGTAACCTGCTTTGCCCTTGTATTCCTCGCTGCCTCCTCTCAGAAGTCAGACCTGTGGCTGAAACCCAGGCAGCCTGCCACTCTTTTCCAAAAGCTTCCAGGCCCCACCCCCCACCTGCCCGACTGTGTCACCTCCAAGCAGAGGGCACCCCAAGTCAGAGAAGGTCCCCTAGAGCAGGGGGCCTGGGCGTCGGCCAGTAGAGGTAGGAGGTGGGCTAGGCTGCCTGTTGAGCATCCCAGAGCTGTTCACAGCCAGTTCTGGGGTTCCTCACTCAGTGAGCAATCTGGAATTTATGTGGAGTTTATAGTGCCTGCTTCCACTAAATGCCAGCTGGCATTTAGCCACAGTTCACTGGACTAGTCTGGACTAGATGGACTCCTAGCCTTGCCTGATCGGGAAAACACTGGTTTTAGCCCTCTCCTGTGCAGTCACGGGGGAGTGAGCCAGCCCGTCAAGGACAGCGTGGGCTCCTTCCATACCAGGGTGGTGTTGGGGAGGGCCTGCCCCTCTCCCCAGCAGCAGGAGGAGTACTAAAGGGAGACGTGGACTGTCCACGAGCAGGTCCCGGAGTAGGCACTTCATTGACATGACCTATTGTGCCCATCACAGGAGCCGGCCCACCAGTGGCTGTTGTGCCCTCCTCCCCCACCCAAGTCCGTGAAGTCCTAGGTCGATGGCAGACCTGGTCTCTCTCTGGCTCCAGGTAGATGAAGCTTAAAAAAAAAGAGGCACAGTGAGGCTTATGTACAATACGTGCACAGTGTGGACATATCTGTGTCACACTGTGTTGAACAAAGTGACAGTGCTGTCCCTCAGACACGAAGCCAGAGCTTTGTGAAGCAGCAGCAAGACGCTAGGTAGAAAAGGCTGGGTGGCAGGCGACAGGGGCACCCAGGCCTGAGCGTTCAGAGGTCTTCGCCATCCCAGCTGTGATTCCGCACAGCTTGTACCCAGTGAAGTAGGTAGACAGAGCCTGAGCTCCGGGAGCCCAGCTCCTGAAGGAGCTGCAGAGGCTCTTGCTCCCTCCCAGCACGTGCCGGGGGGCCTTGGGGAGCAGGAGCCAGTGTCCCTAACCTGCAGCCATGCCCGCAGCAAGCGGACTTCCAGATCTACTCCGAGTACTGCAACAACCACCCCCGCGCCTGCCTGGAGCTCTCCCGGCTCGCCAAGCTCAGCAAGTACGTGTACTTCTTCGAGGCCTGCCGGCTGTTGCAGAAGATGATTGACATCTCTCTGGACGGCTTCCTGCTGACCCCAGTGCAGAAGATCTGCAAGTACCCTCTGCAGCTGGCTGAGCTGCTCAAGTACACACCCCCCCAGCACAGGTAAGGAGGCTCTTCTTGCCTCAGGCCGCTTTGCTGAGTTCTTGTACTGTGCTGGGCACTGCTGCAGGCACTGGGGCGACAGCACAGAGAAAAACCACCCCTGCTCTCAGGACCTGTGGTTGCAATGAGGGAAGAGGCCACACATAGGGTATTAAGTCCTGCTCTGTGTCGGCACGCATGGAGAAGATGGGGATGTGCACTTGACTGGTGAGGAAATGGCTGAGGGGCACCGCCACAGAGGCAAGCAGCACCACAGGGGGCTTCCGGAGGCTCTCTGCGCTCCAGCTGGCAGCCCAGTCCCATCTCTGTTCTGCCCTAGGGATTTCAAGGACGTGGAGGCTGCTTTACATGCCATGAAGAACGTGGCCCAGCTCATCAATGAACGGAAACGGAGACTGGAAAACATCGACAAGATTGCTCAGTGGCAAAGCTCCATAGAGGACTGGGAGGTGAGGGCCTGACACCCCAGAAGACACCATGGGGCTTGTCCCTGAAAACTCAAGGAGGGAGCTGAGGAGGGAGACAGCTCCTGGGAGATAGCAAACAGGAGCTGGGGACGGGAAAGCGTCCTCCACCTGGGCGCCCGAGCCCTGAGCTCCAGGCCTTTAGCGCTGCCTCCCAGAGCAGGCCCAATGGCCTCTTTCCTGGTGAAGACTTTGGGGTACGTGTGAAATACCACATGCCTCCCAAAGTGCAGCCAGCCAGCCCAGCAGGAGCTGCTCCTCTGCCCTTAGTGGACAGGCCAGATCCCCAAGTTTTTTGCTGGGACTCCCCACAGAAGGTTATGCCCCAGCATGACCAAAAATGGATCCACCGCCCAGAACCTCCTGGTGCGTTTTCTCTGGCTTGCATATTTCCCGCATCTGCCAATCTTGCCTTCTAAGGGAACACAGAGGCCGGAACAAACGGTGACATTCCTGTCCTCCTGCTCTCTCCACCTCCATCCAACAGCCATGAAATGTTATAAAAATACGGATTCCTGGGCCCCGTTCTAGAAACACAATTAGAATTCCTGGGGGTGGAGCTGAGCAATGCGGGGTTTGTTTTGTTTTGGGGGTTTTGTTTTTTGGGTTTTTTTCCAGGTGATTGATTCTGAGGCCCAGTCCTAGCCGAGGACCCCTACAAACTCACTTATCCCAAACAATGGCTGCCAACTCCTGCGATGGCTTGCATTTTGCAGGAGGAATGGGAAGGGGGGCAGGGCTTAGTCTGAAAGTTTGAAGTCTGATGATGGGACTTCGGTACCAAATATGTTTAACTGGGAAGAAGACCTTTTGCCCCTAAAAGACGGCCCTCAGAGGGGACTTGCAGCCGGGGCTAATCATCCGCACGGCAGCACTGTCCATGTGGAGCGAGCCACATGGCCGATCTTACGTGTTCAAGTAGCCATCTTAAAAAGGAAAGAAACAGGTGAAACTAATAATATTTTGTTTGACTTTATAGATCCAAAATATCATTTCAACATGTAATCAACATAAAATATCATTAGTGAATATTTCACATTCTCTATTTCATACTAAGGCTTCAAAATCCGTGTGTATTTTACTTACATGACATCTCAGCAGGGATTAGCCACATTTCAAGTGCTCACTCCACTGGCTGCCGATGAGCCCCGTTTCGCAGAGACAACCAACTCATGGGTCAAACCACCTTTCTACCCCCCACACTGCCCCCACTACTTCCTTGGGCTTCAGGAGCAGCCCCGCCCCCTACAATCTGCTGTTCGCTGCAGACCCTGGCCCAGTGGGGGCCACAGGCGGGGCCACTGGGGAGCCCTCCTCCCCATGATGGAGGCAGGACGCAGAGCCTAGCAGAGGGGCCTCCTCTAAGCTCATGGCTCTCCTTGGGCCCCCAGGGGGAAGACCTCCTGGTCAGGAGCTCAGAGCTCATCTACTCAGGGGAGCTGACTCGAGTTACACAGCCACAAGCCAAGAGCCAGCAGAGGATGTTTTTTCTCTTTGACCATCAGCTCATCTACTGTAAGAAGGTACCAGAGTTGCTCTGCTCTGCTGGACAGAGCGGGAAGGGAGGGAGTGAAGCCGTGGGCTGGGAGCAGCAACCCAGAGAACAGGAGCCACACCCACATGGTCCCTTCCTTCCCAGGGCCCTAATTGCAGCAAGGCCTTTCCTTGTCAGGCCCTTAGGGCCGGGCTGAGGGTGACTCTTTGCAGAGTGAGCCTGGTAGCCCCAAGACCACAGGCAGCCCTCAGAGTCTGACTGGGGCCTCCTTTCTGACCTAGGCCCTGCTTACACTACCTCTTCTCTCCCTGAGAGGAAACCTCAGCCTGCCCTTCCCAGTCCTGGGTCCTCTGTTGCAGCTGCCCCCTGGCCACCTCCTTGCTGCTAGTTTCTACTCCTCTTCAAAACGTGGCCCAAGCGGCCCTGTCCAGGAAGCCCTACCGACCACTAGCTCTGGCCTGGCCCTGGCAGACCTGGTGCTCTTCTCTGCTGTGTGGTGTGGGCCCTGGCCCGCTGTTTCCTTGGCTGTCTCCCCATCAGACTCCTCCCTCGAGTTCAGCATGGTCCTGGGCCGTACCCAGGTCTGCTCTGCCCTCAGGAGCTCACCATGTGCTGGTGGGTGGGTGTGCAGTCCAGAGTCCTTCCAGTTACAGGGCAGAGGGGGAGGCAGGCCCTTGGACATGGTCAGAGGAGTGGTCCCAAGGCTGGGGAGGGCTCCAACAAGCAGGCTGGGCCAGGAGCTCACGGCATCTCTGGCAGGACCTTCTCCGCCGGGACGTGCTGTACTATAAAGGCCGAGTGGACATGGATGACCTGGAGGTGGCAGATCTGGAGGATGGGAAGGACAGAGACCTCCATGTGAGCGTCAGGAATGCCTTCCGGCTGCACTGCGGCGCCACAGGAGAGAGCCACTTGCTGTGTGCCCGGAAGCCTGAACAGAAGCAGCGCTGGCTCAAGGCCTTCGCCAGGGAGAGGGAGCAGGTGCAGATGGACCAGGAGACAGGTGCGACCCGGCTCAGCCTTGCTCCGCCATGAGGCCCCACCCAGCCTTCCTTGCTCCTGAATGCAAGGAGGTCAGGACAGTCTTAGACTCGAGACAGCACATCTTACAGCCCAAGAGCCTGGGTTTGGCGAGGGTCCAGGGCAGGGATCTGCTGGCCTGTGAGGGAGTTTGCTCGTACCACACCTAGACATGCACACACGCACACACACTCCATAGGGTGGGGGCCCTCTGCTTGGTCACAGGGACCTGGGGGAGCCCCTTTCCAGCACAAGCCCTGGGAGAGCATTGGAGTGGGAGGTGGGCACTGGCTCCAGAAGCCTCCCCCACCCCCCACATGAATAGGGCATCTACCCACTGCATTTCTCTCCTGGCATCGGCCCCTGGACATCACACTCTGCAGTTACCAGGTCCACTCTTGGTCTGGGAAAGAGCCTCCACCACAGTGGAAAGGACATGCGACACTGGACACGCTGGGGATCAGGTCAGGGTGGGAGATGGGGGAAGGCAGAGGAGGATGTGGGGAGGGCCTGAGAGGGCAGCAGAGGCTCTCCTCTGCCTGGTTGGCCAAGGCAGGCTAGCTGAGCCCAATGCTGAGTTCCTGCGGCATGATGGGACCCCAACCACGGTGGGCAGTGTAGGGTACAGAGGTGCACCAGTGCCAGGGAGCACAGAACAGGAGGGACGTGAGCAGGGGAGAAGGAGCTGGAAGGGCAGTCAAGTCCTCTCAGGGAAGTGGAGTCTCATTTGTGCCCCTCCCATGTCCCAGGATTCTCCATCACTGAGCTGCAGAGGAAGCAGGCCATGCTGAATGCCAGCAAGCAGCAGGCCACCGGGAAGCCCAAAGGTGAGCGGATGGAGTCCCACCTCCACCTACAGCAGCCTGGCCTGAGCTCTGATCACTCTTCTCTGACCCCTAAAGCAAAGCCAGCTAGCACCTGGTCCTCAGAGTTGCCCACTGCCCTTTGCAGGTGTTTGATCGCAAAGGTTGGTACTAGGGGCCACTGGTGACAAAGCTGTATCAGTATGCAGTTGATACCCTTGCCCTCAATGCCCTCAGACAGGGCCCCCAGAGCAGCACCATTAGTGACAGTGCTCACTTCCCCAGGCAGACTGCTTTCTGGCAAGGGGCTGATATCCCCATTCCTACAGACATCAAATGCCTTGCACAAGGCCTGTGCCACGGAGAAGCTCCAGGGCTCCTCACCTTCCCTGGCATTCCAGCTACCCCCTCGGCAGGCCACAGGAGGGCAGTCCAGGCCCCTCAGAGTGGTTAGCCCTGTGGAAAGCAAGGGCCCTCCCATGGGAGTCTGAGGCAGAGCCTTGGGACAGGCCCCATCCACCCTCCCCCCTCGCCCAAGCAGTGGAGGCTGCCACCCTGTCCTGCACCACCTGGCTCCCCAGCACCTATGACCCCTGCTGTCTTCTCCTGCCCAGCCCTCAGCCGGCCCTACTACCTGACACGCCAGAAGCACCCGGCACTGCCCACCTGCCTGCCCCAGCAACAGGTCTTGGTGCTGGCAGAGCCCAAGCGGAAGCCCTCCACCTTCTGGCACAGCATCAGCCGCCTGGCACCGTTCCGCAAGTGAGCCAGTGGCCCACCCGACCACACTGTCTGGACCTTCCCCGCCAGCGGGCCTCCGGCTTCTCCTCCTCAAGGTCCACTGTGTCCGGCCCTCCTCTGCGTATGACACAAACTGGAAGCGAGCAGGGCCATGTGAGGAAGCTGCTCAGTGCCACCAGTATGTGCCAAGTTCTGGGCTCCCATTCATGGTTTCTGCCCCACTACTGGTGCACTGAAGACACCAGCCAGACAGGGAGCCCCACAGCATGTGGACCCCCTGGCACCCTGGACGTTGGTGGGGCCTCCTGGGAGCTAGGGCTCAGAACCACCCCCCAGGCCCACACACATGAGGAGACTGGCAGCTCTGCACCCTCTTCTTTGGGCATCTAATCATCCCTCCTTCTCCTGGTTTTTTCTGGGCAGGAGACCATATCTACCTTCAGCCACCTGCCAAGCTGGGCCGTGTGCCCCCCTGCCCTCAATTCTCCTTGCAAGCCCCCAGCCCCCAGCTGGTGGTGCAGCAGCTTGCATCCCTGGAGGTTGGGAACCAGGAATTCTGCGCACAAAAACGTCTGGCCCAGAGCCCACCTGTTCTGCCTCCCAGTCCCTCTCTAGACACTCCTGGCGGCCAGACACCCTCTTCACTTGTGATGTGTGTGTTTATAGTGGAAAGAAAACAAAACCATAGTCCGCCACATACTTCTGTCAAGGTTTGTGACCAGTCCACGTGTAGCTGTGGGTTGATTCTAGAACCTTGCTGCAGTTTTGTTATTTTGTTGTTTTTATAACAATGGAGAAAAAAAAATACTGTTAGTGACACAGAAAGACTGCCTTACCCTGAGTGAGCGTGTGAAGCCGGAAGGACTGACTTCTGAGGCCCAGCATGCAGGGCGGACCCGCCCCCAGAGGCTGGTGCGCACTGGGCTGGAGGGAAGCCCACCTCCTTCTGAGGAGGGGCCCCCACGAGTGTGGCCAGGGCCTGGCTTTTGGGTGCAGAGCACCGAGCTGCCCCTCTGGCCCATGAAAACTTAGCAGCATGTACAGTCACTCTTGCACTATACCCTCTCCAAGCCAGAAACCACATTTAATTTCATAAAGAAACCTGTGAAAAATAACCTGGCTGCCAGCCCGTTTTTTGTTGCTGTCTGTGCATTTTCTCCTCTGCATGCCCCATCCTTCCTGTGCCCATGATCTTTGACCCAGGCCTTTTCTTACACTGCAGGAAAGAGCCAGCAGTACCCTGAGGTGGGGTGGGACTCACCCAGTTGCAGACCGTGCCCTCAGGCTTTGGTGGAGAGAGGCTAAGGGGGCAGGGCTAAGTGCCTCCGGGAGGCTCAGGGGAGCCAGGAGGACTGTGTCTGGCCTGGGAGCTGTCCAGGTATGAGTACAGCTAGCTCAGGGCCTGGGAGCCCACTCTCCCTGACTGCTCGCAGAGTCCATGTTTGGCTGAAGTTAGCAAATGTGGGTTTAGCTGTCAGGCTACAGAAAGGTCTGTAACCTTTCTGGGTCTCGGCATCCTCCTCACTGAAATGGGGAAGAATATGTCCTCCCAGGAGGCCCCAGGCCGCGGGACGAGAAGATTGAGGGGGGCTTCCCTGCCCCCGAAGAAACAGTCCCACCTTGCTGCCTCCACACCCCCTTAACACTGCCAAGGGCACTCGAGTGAGTGCCACCAGGGCCTCTGCCCACGACTCCATGTATTTCCTAACTGGAAAGAGGCTATAGCACCTCCCAGCCAGGCCAAGCCACCTGGAGAGAAAACCCACAGGGAAAATCATGAAAACTATGACATGCAACACAAGTCAATCTTTATTGAAAACTGCAGTATTCATACAGAACAATTCTTGTTACAATAAACGTGCTTTTAAGAATTTTAAATCTGAGCTCATCTACTCATCAGATTGCATAAAAAATTAAAATAGTATGAATTTACACACGATGGAACTGGCTCAGGATGACGCTCCATTCCTTTGTATTGACACCTGAAGTTCAATGCAGAGGCAAGGGATGCCTTTAACACTGGAAGACAATGCTGACGTAAGCTTAAGAAAAGTACTAAGAGAACGGTCTAAAAAAACAGTATTTAAAACTTAAAAAAAAAAAAAAAAGGAACCGTTTCCTAGTCAGTCATATGTTGTAACCCATGTGGCTCCTTGGGGCTTCTCCTCTGAGTGGCCGTCACAGCAACCCTGCAGGAGCGCACATGAGCTGGTCTCCAATCCAGCCCGACTATCCTACCAACACTGGTCCAGACAAGGACCCACGGGAGCTGCGGCAGGGCTCAGGTGGCTGATGCGACGCCTGTCCCCTCAGTGCACCAGGCCCGGGAGCACCCCACGTCCCGAGGCTCACGGCGGGTTCCTGCAGAGATGCCTGCCTCTCCTCTGTCTGCCCGTCCCAAGTAACTTGCACTTGAGTCCCGGGGACTCAAATAAGATTACCCCACAGGTTTTCTGTTCTTCAAATGAATAGGGGTGGGGAAAGAGACAAATCCTCTGAAACAGGTAAGATCAACTTTGAAACTTTCTACCCAAAAAGATCAGACCCTCCTCTGCAGCGTGTCACCTTCAGAAAGCTCATGATGAGTAATAATAAACAACTCAGGGAAAAACACAAACATCTGAGATGTGCTAGAGGAGAGGTAAGCACTCTGCCCCTCCCCTAAGCCAACCACAAGTCTCTTTAGAGACACACCCTCCCCTTAAAAAGCACCAGAGAAGAACCAGAAGCTGCCTCCCACCTCAAGCCACGCACCCTTAAACCTGCCCTTGCACCCACTGGAGGGCGTCACAGGCGTCCTGTCCTGTCTGGGCAATGTCCAGGCTGGCAATGATTGGGGTGTCCAGCCATTAGCTGCCAGATGGGGAGGAGGTGGCCCAACTGGTCAGAATAATACTGTTTCCAAGTGTTTACAAAGGATAGGTGAAGAAGTCTGATTTATTTTTCTAAAGCAGGCCCCAATATTGATGCGCTGGTGCCTGCCACCCTTTCGCCACCCACTGGCAGCCACACTCACAGAAAGCCACGTGGAGACAACACTGCCAGATATTAGCATATCCAAAGTGCCTTAAGACTATACCTCCTCTCATTACTGAAGCGCTGATGCCACCAGACAGAGCAAAGGCATACTGCATGCCCAGCTTGGGAAGGGCAGGATGCTTACTGACCAGGTACCCACCCCAAGGCTCAGGACCCCCTTCATCTCCTGTAAATATGACATTTGCATAGCACTCAAGAAACAGACTCAGAGAATAGCAACTGGCAGGCCTAATAACCACACCAACAAGAATGTTCTGGAAAGATTTAATACAAGAGACACAAAAGGTTCTGGAAGCACCTCCAGGCCGGTTAGCACAAATGGCCCTGGCCCTGATGCTGGCCTCACTTCCCAGAGGCAGCGAGCTGATGGGACCACTGCCATCGCTAAACACTCGGTCACTGGCCCAGACCCCAACAAGACTTCCTTCAGCAGAGAAACAGACCTCCTACACCTTAGGGGAGAGGCTGGACAACAAAAATGTTCTAAAATATCCATGATGATGTCCATGTTTATAGGAATTCAGTCCTGTGCTTGCCTGTCTCAACTTCTAAAAGAACTGTAATTCAGCTGAAAGACTCTGAAATTAGGAATGTCACATACAAAAAAGGCAAAATTTCTCTGAATGTTCCACTGTTGTGCCTGAATAATCAAATTATGCAAGTTTCTAACAGAAGTTCTATGCCTTAATTAATTTTACCGGAATTAAATGCTTCTAAAATGACAACCTATGATAGTTTTGTTACTATTCCTATGTCCAGAATCTTACCTGCTAGATAAGTTCTACTTTTCATCATATTTGATAGCTGATGCCCTGATAGTTTCGAAATTGAAAAGATTTCCACACAGATGTATTCCATAAAGCGAAAGTATCTGATAAAGTCTCCCAACTCACCTTTACAAAAGGGAAAAGAGATTAAAAAAAAATTAGAGGAGGAAAGTGTTTATAAAGCTGATGTAAATGGGAGGAAAATGCAACCCACTCTTCTCTTTCTCTTGAACACATGATTTAATTCGGTGCTCATGAGAACACTCACCTGCGTGCGCCAAGTCTCAAGCAAGCCTGGAGAAACATCCTGTATAACTTCTCATCTTTCTCCTGAATTCAAATGACTCTTCCCGACCGGTAGTGGTGTGTGTGTGTGTGGAGGGTGTGTGTGGGTGTTTTCCTTTTGCTGTTTGGGGCTTTTTTAAAGCCTATACTAAAATTATATTTTCTCCTAATCTATTACACTAAATTGGGGGACCCGACTTCTTGTTATCTGGTCAGTTCAGCCCCTGGACTCCTTAGAACGTATCAGTACTACACAGCATCCACTATACAAATGGAATGACCGACACAGAGTTGAAGAAGTGGACACAAACGGTGTGCCTGGGATAAACGGCTACTACACACACACACACACGTGGGCTAAGTGCTCATGAAGCAATTTAAAGTACTTATCAGTAAACACATTATGTTAATAGACATTAGGAATAAGGAATCTTCTGTTTACAATGATCCATGCAAAAGTGTTCCTAAAATTCTTATAAAATAAAATGTGAAAAAGAAAATTATGAAGAGTACTTACTACAAAAAATAAAGTTACCAAAGGCTCAGGGGTCAGGTGTCCCACTCACCAACTGAGGTGGAATGCCAAACCAGGGCCAGAGCCCTGACCTGGCTGCTGGAGACGCGAGAAGAGCAGCGGCCTCCCCAGGCAAAGCCTACAGCACGGCCACAGTCACACCCACCCCTGCCCGACAGACTTCTGAGAGGGAACAGAACCGTCACCCCGACCACTGACTCTGAGAAGAGAAACACACTCCCATCAAGTTGGGCACATTTAGGCAAAAAAAAATCCTCTTGACTTCTTATGTACAACATTCAGATTTTGAACACAAACCCCTCTGTCATGAATCCCAGCAGGCAGGCACACTCTGACGCTGCCTGGCCCCTTGCTGTCCACACACACGTGGTGCTGAGCGCCCTCAGCTGCAAGAAAAGATGGTAGAGGAGACGCACAGACAACAGGCCCCAGACCCTCCTCAAGCCTCCCCACAGTCGTCTCCTAGGAGCCCCTCCAAAGAGTCTCAGAGGACAAGTCTCCATCAGGTGGATGGGCCCAAACGGCCACGCCCTGCCTCTCTACAAGAAAGAATCAATTTCAAAGAGTTTTGTTCCCTTTTAATAGTTGTTAAATACAACTTTCTTCATAACACAGCTGAATCTTTGCCCTTGTCTGTGGGGAAGAACAGCAATGCCTACACATGTTTTCACCTGATTCAAACATTTCTCAGGGAAAAAA